CCCCCCCCCCCCCCCCCCCCTTCCTCCCTCCTCGCTCGACGGCAGAAACGGCAAAATTTTCCGAAAAAGTGGGTGAGAGGAGGTTTGTTCTGAAAGGGGACGAGGGAGAAGATTTTGGAGGGGTCATGTTTACCGAAAGCTCTCCCTCTCCTGGCCAGAGCATGCCCTGAGGGGGGTGTGTATAGATTGTAGCGCTCGGTGATTTATTCTTATTTCGCTCAGTTTCATGAGTTGTGAAAAAATATGACAAAGATGATAATAAATGTTTCAGATGTAATAAGATACTTGACTGTGGCCATCAGTGCCCTTCCACATGTGGAAAGCCTTGTGATATGGCTTGTTTTGAGGTGACTCGTTCTCATATTTTGTACTTTTCGCTATTGATTATTTATCAGATGGGGCGCTGTTTGACTTAGAGGGGCATTTTGCACTTTGGTTAACTCTGTGGCTACTTCCTGTTGTTTTGCACCCCTCACATTGGTGAGAGCTGTCGACTCTTGTAAAGTACACGTGAAGCTAATGATAACACGAATTTACATGTCTCTACAGGAGGCGAGGGGCAGCAATTGCCGGAAAGCAGCAGAATGCCTCCGCGAAACCGAATCGCGCCCCGTTTGGGGCTATTTATAATTTTTTTCTGAAATAATTTTTTCATGTTTTCGTCAGAAGAATCCCATCATCAGTTTTATTAAGCCTGTAACTCTCTCAAACGACGTATGCAATCATTCGTGGACAGTGGTTTGTAGTGAAAAGAGCAAGTCAGCTGGCTGTCCAATGCGGTGTCCAGAAACTCTGCCATGTGGCCACTGTTGTGAAGAGCGATGTGGACAGCCATGCACGGTCAACTGCAACAAGGTGAGCCAGGCTTCTAATTTTCATTCATGGATACATTCCACGATAATCGAATGGGCGTGAACTCACAACCTGTGGGTTCCTCACTGACAACTTCTCTTTACTAATTGAATAGGAGGGGCCCGCCATTGATGATGGCATTGATTATTGTGGGCTGTGGGTCTATTCTTTAGCGGTCGCCGCTTATCGCGCAAGGGGCTCTTAATGGGCTAATGCCGTTTGGACTCCAGAAATTTCGGCTCCGAGCTCATTTTAAAAGTGGCAAGATCACCAAATCCGCTAAAAACTTGTATATAGGGGTAATTCAACATCCTGATCACGAATATGACATTCATTTTTGGCGCTGGCGCTAATGGATGACACTACGGTTACCTGCGCTCTGCTAAGGCTGAGCCCAGGAGGTAATCGTAGTGTCCTCTCTTGGCGCCAGCGCCAAGAATGAGTGTCACTCGTAATCAGGATGTTGAATTACCCCTATATACAAGTTTTTAGTGGATTTGGTGACTTAGGCAATTTGAAAATGAGCTCGGAGCCGAAATTTCTGGAGTCCAAACGGCATTAGCCCTCTTAATGCGATCCGCTATAGATGTACTATAAATGTGTCCTTTATTCTAATGACTTGTGCAGAGAGTTGTTTAGCTAGTGCGGTGCCGTCTGGCTTGCGGTCATAATGTCAGGGTGCCATGTTACGAGAGTGAGAAACCGAAGCAGTGTGAGGTTAGTTTCTTTTATCACCCTACAAGTCTGTCACTTGGACCGAACACGAAAAATTCATTAATATAAGCAGGTCGATTGAAAAACTTATTCAGATAGGCCGATCGGGTTTTTTTTTCAAAGACTTCTTAAACGCCTATTTTGTGATGGGATAGATGGGCGGAGACAAACTATTACAGTGGTCTTCTATTGGTGTGCCCCTACATAAAGGGGAGGCGCTGCAATGAAGAAGGCATAGTTGCTGCTGTCGTGTATCCTCAAACCTGTATGATATACGTTTTTGACTTTTAGGGCCTACGTTTTGTTTTTACAAAGTGTTCTGTGTCGCCGCCCATTCGATCCTACTAGCTGCAGTATGCACATTGAATTTTTGTTTCATTTCTTTTTAGTTTTTTTATTCTTACGCGCACCAGGCTCACAATCATTAGGATGCGTCCATAGTCCACGGCAACTATTATGAGTCTCTCTTCTCCCGGAATGCAAGATCGATACGCATCTAAACCTCAGCGATTCCGCGAGCCCAAGAAATGCGTGAAGTATGAACGTTGTCTTAGGCTGCGTTGATATTTCACGATTTGAACGTTTTAATCTGGTCTCTAAACTGCGAACGACCGTGCTCCATCTTCAGTCACTGGACTGCTGCGAAGACCGCAGAAGTTTAATCTGAATATGATCGACGGTAGCGGCCCAATACCCAATATATGCGATGGCCTTTCGAGGGTATTGAATCGCGAAGTACGAACGCGGCGTTAGCAATAAGTTTTACTTTGAAAGGGTACCAGTATGCAGTGGTTAGAGGTCAATATTTACGATATTTATGATACCTTTTTTCATATAAATTTTGAGTATATGCCTCTATAGTGCACGATTTTAGTCTCGTAGTTGTTGGGGAAGGAGGAGGGGACACACTGCGGCGCGGCCAGGGGACGAGTTGTACGCCTCATATCCCGAGGATGGAGTAGGCGTGGCTGCATGCTTCATTTGAACGTTGTGGCGGGTGCATTTTTTGGGATCTTTCCACACGGCGCCTGCTAGTGCTGTCATCCTGTCTTGTGCTGGACAAAACCATGATCACATCTGTCCCGGAACGGCAGTATAGCATAAAAGCGCAGCTGTCGCTACGTCCAAATGAAGTACGCAGCCACGCCTTCACCACCTCCAGGATATGGAGTGTAATATACTGCTCGCGAGAGCAATTTAATAAATAGTTAGGCGAATCCTATCATAAGTTTGACTAGAATTGATACCGTCACTGCTCGATAGCGTGATTTAATAGAAAAAGTTGTAGGAAAAGGTACTACAAGATCTGGAGCATTGTGGTCATTCCGTGATGATGCCATGTCACGCTGGTACGAATCCAAGCTATTGTCCAGCGCCGTGTGACAAGCAACTCTCATGTGGGCATAAATGCCTTCGTAAATGTGGTGAATGTTATGACGGCGGGGTGGTGAATGTTATGACGGTCAGTGGACAATGCTTGCAAACATTATTTTAATTTTTTTTCTGTGCCCCTTGTTCTCTTACTGCTGTTTTTTGGTGATTTTTTTCCTATTCTGTTAGTCTTCAACTTGGTTTTCTTTTCTACTGAAAAATTTTCGCTGAGCTTGTTTGTTTAAGCCGGTGAATGCAAATGTGAAACGACGATGTGCTCAAAAGTGTTGGCATGTGGTCACCAATGCGCAAAAAGGTCAGTCTGTTCCAGTGAGTTGAGGAAAAATTCCGCGATAATCGGATGGGCGGGGTCTCATAACCGCAGCTGTAGTCCTTCTAATATGACAAAGAAGAAGGTCCCTAAAGGGCTATGACTTCCCCCTCAATTTTTCGTCCATTGGTTATCGTGGAATGTGTCCTTGGGGGTTCAAAGTTGTTTGCTTTAGAGGATGGGTATGAAGAGAAATCCTCTATAGGTATATAGAGGATTTCTCTTCAATTAATACTGCCGAAATCAGTCGGGGCGTGTCAACGCACCATGCGTGTAGGCGCGGCGTGAGGTCGTTTCTAACTGATAATAACTGAGACTTCGTGCGTTTTATGAGTGGTGGTGAAGGGGTTGGCACCGCGCCAGAAGGCTGTGCTGACACGTCCCGTCTGACTTTGGTGATAATGACTGTAAACTTTCTTAATGGTTTCAAATATCTAGATGTGGCGAACGATGCGAGCCTTGTACTTCTCCTTGTCTCACAAGTTGTAAGCATCAGGACTGCGGCAGCAGTGACCGTTTCCAGGTTTTCATGTTTCATAACTTTTTCAGAGCTGTCTCTGGGCGCAGTTCGGCGACGGAGGTTAGGGGGGGGGGGAGCCTTTTGCGCTATAATGCTTCACTAATTCCGGTTTACATGTCTCACTGTGCTGGAACTTGACTCTTGTGAAGCCGGAACAAGCTCTTCTAGCCAAGCAAAATGCTCACCCCCTCCGTCGCCAAACTGCCCCTTGTTTTTCCAATATGAAATTTCAGGGGAGTAAAGTAGTTTGGGGGGAGGGGGGGGGGGAGATGGGGCGTCACGGCCGAGTGCTATGCTAAACTGGATTGCTACCACAGAGGCCACCGTGTTCAGTTCAGCGGATTCCGTTCGCGGCGTTGCAAGTGGTGTCACGTGCGCGGCATCCGCACCAAGACCCAATTGCAAAAGCTGCAGTGTAAACTAGCTAGAAATTTACTACTTTCTACTAGCGCCGCCGATGTCCTAAACGACCGCCATTCTTTCTATGGCTCAGTCCTGGAAAGCGTTAGACGACCAGAGTAAGCGTGTTATCGTCGCGTTGCACCCCCCCCCCCCCCTCACTACAGTTTTTAATTTCTGACCGTAGAGAAATAGGTGTTTTGTTTTCAGGTACTGAAATACGGACGAAATTGCTCGCAGCCATGTGTCCTTTGTCCAAAACTCTGTGATAACAGCTGTCAGCATCGCAGTTGTAGTAAAAAGTGGGTTTGGCTTCATTACGTCATTTTCCTTTTTAGTAGGGTAATCTGATTTCCATCGAGCGACAGAAGTGGGCGTGCGAAATAGTTATTGAAATTGGTTGTTATTGTGAGCCTTTTTTATCAGGTGCTACGAAGTATGCGATGTAAAACCGTGTGAACAACCGTGCACGATGCGACTGCCATGTGGACATGGTTGCCTTGGAATGTGTGGGAGAAATCTGTCCGCGTGAGTCCTTATTTCCCCAGTGGATTTCCTCATTTCGCCTTTTGACACCCATCTGACAGCTTTTATCCGGTGAAATTTGATCGGGTGTAGTTTAAGAGATCCGCTTTGCGGCGTTGAAGCGAAAACGGTGTTGCCAGTGACGTCATTCGTCACGTCACGCGCGTTTTATTGGCACGAGTACCTAATTGGTTTGATATTGGAGAGCTGTACTATGTCTAACCAATCATCTGGAGAAGGAAACCAGTTTACGCGCGTCAGCCGCACCATCGGTCTCGTAACCGGCGTTCCACATTATTTGGCCTTGTATGCTTTCTTGAGATCGAACTTTAGGACACAGTTTGACTTGGTGGGGGCATTTTACTTTTCCTAACCGATTATGACCGATGCTTCTTGTAGATATATACAATAGTATGAGATATATTTACACTCAACAAGTCTTCTCAGGTTTCACCAAGACGGGGTGAGAAGTTAACATGAATTAGCCAAAAAAAAACCAGCAAGCTAGGGAAACACCCTCCCCCCCCCTCCTATGTCGAGCAGGGCTGGGAGTACTACTGTTTGCCCTGATTTGCTTCCTGGAAACAGTCGAAGGCTGTCAAAGTAAGAAATCCAGAAAGGACCACTGTTGTTGCGCATGAGCTTCGAAGTATTTTGTAAACTCATAGTTGTCGCGCCCCCTGCTTGTCTGCAATCTTTAGAGTACCCTATCAGGGAAAAAGTAAATGGTGGGCGGGGCATGGCAGGTATGATGCCTCATTGTGCTTCTTGTCTTACTGCCTTATGATTAATCGCTGAATAATGGGTGTACACGCCACTTCCTTCTTGTTGAGAGGATACAGACAAGCAGGGGGGGGGGGGGTTGCGCGACATAGTCGAACCGCCCCATGTCTTCTTTCCGACGACCTTTGTCCTGCTTACCTTTGATCAATAAATGCGCCAGCAGTTTCTACTTTGTATTCTGATGAATTTTACAACCTTTCAGGTCTTTGTGGTACCTGCAACAAACGAGCTTACGTGAACTTGATAGAGGAATATTTGGGTGCGAAGGCAACAATGACAAAGCTGCCAAGAATCATAGAAGTGGAAGGATGTCGGCATGCATTCCCAGTGGAGGTGAGTACCTTTTCAAAAGAAAACTCATCTTCTGCACACCATATGGGAGCAGTGCTGTCATGGGGAAAGAGGCGGGCCGTCAGGGAGGAGCTTAAAGCGGATCAGCTCGAAATGCTGATCCGCTCACAGCGCTGATTCTTACAAAGCGCCAGATAGATGCCTACACTTTCCTTCTCACTCGAAACACTGCGTTGGAAAGTATGAACGCAGTATTGACGTTCGACTCGGAACGAAACTTCTCGTCCAACATACACTTGAAGACAATCCTGCATTGTCGGAAGGGCGAAGCCTTGAAGACGACGTCACTGGCGCCCATTTTTCCGCCTTCTTCCTCGTGGATGCCATCGCTTCACAATGCAGGCCGGTGCGACGCGAAGTTGGACATCATCTTAATTTAGACTTGACATCTTAATTTAGACTTGAGCTCGGGTTATGGAGGTTTTCTCGTCCACATAACGATTGAGTACGGGAGGCAACTCGCAGTTAGAAGGAGCAATGTCTGTGCTACACCAGTGCAAGAGGAGAGCCATCCTCTGTTGTGGGGTACGGCTCGAACTTATTTGAATGGTGTAGGCTGCACTGTCACGTTGAAGACGGACTGTGAGGATACATTTTTCCCTCTGATCGACGGTACGCTTTGAATCTCGTAGCTGCTTTGCGCACGGGTCGATCGAGGAAAGCAGCTTCTTCGTCCAGCACTTTCACGACCGGCAAGCCGCCCTTTAAAAGCCACCTGGTATGATCACAAGCTCTTAGTTTGGTGCTGCATGATTAACAGGCCCCCAGCTGTCCGAAGTATTATCCCGTCGTCCACACAGTTCCTCCCAACGTCCATCCATGCGCTGAGGAATGGGGTTTTACTGACAGACCTGTGAAACACGGCATACTCTTCTCCATGCTCCGCACCGAGACGCCTTTTGTCGCGCAGACTCCCCTTCATGCTAAAGCCGTCCTGCGGGCGGGTAAACTCTCCGGCACTCTTGGCACTTTGCCATAAGTCCTGTATCGGGCGCTTTGGAATTTACGAGTACAAACCGCATCTCATGAAATGCGGAGTAACATTTGATGTGTCTGCAAATAGAGGCAACGATGATTGATGAGGCCAGAACTCAAGGGCAAAACTGTGCTGTCTTTGCCAACACCCTCAAAGGGCCCGCGCACCTTCTCACAAAACATGAAAATAAAAACGGCACAGCGTAGCGTCCCACGTCTTAGTTTAACTACAAGCAAAACGCAATTTCCTGATGCGAATAACATTTGAGGTGTTGCTCATGCTTCAAAGTCCGAACAGAGGGTGATGAAGATAACAAAGGCTAGAAATGAAGAACAACGAATGTAGATGCAAATAAAACAAGCAAGATTGAAACAAACAAGAACATACTTCAACTTCGGTGTAATGCAACTGTGAGATCGCGTGCTAATCTTTCAACGGCGCGATCCGGCTCCAAAGCCATAAAATACTGTTGAAACTCAAACGAGTGGAGGAAGACTTAGGCCGCTTTTATTTTCATGTTTTGTGGGAATGCGCGGCCTCCGAGGGATGTTGCAGAAACAGCAGCTCTTGAGTTCTGGCCCTCGTCATCATCTTCGGTTCTTATTTTGCGACACTTCAAAAGTTATCCGCATAAGGAAATTGCGTTTTACTTGTATTCCAAAGCGCAATTACAGGACTTGGCAAAGTGCCAGGAACGCCGCACGCCAAACCGCGGCACGAGCGACGGATGTGTAGCGGATGGACGGGAAGTCTTCGCGCCGCAAAAAGGTATTGCGGCCGGAGCATAGGGGATTAGCGTGTTGTGCACGATCCTGTATCTCCACTCGCTGCGCAAGTGTTAGAGCTGCGGGAAACGCTACGTTCGACAGCTGACTCGGGTCTGAAGGTCACACACACCCAAACTATGTGTTCCGTACCATGTGTCTTAAGGAGCTACGGGTCGCTGAAAAGTGCTGGCGCGAAGATGCTGCCTCCTCGATCGACCGTGCGCCAAAGCTAAAAGGATTTTGAAGAAGCGCTTAAAGGGCCGTCTGCGGCCATGGTAGCGGATAACATTATCGTGTATTATAGAAGCATGAAGAAGAAGAAGAAGAAGAAGAAGAAGCAGGAGTCAAGCGAGTGGTACTAATAGAAAGACCACTCCTTGATGTATAAGTGCTCACATTACCGGTTACCCCCTCTCCAGTAAGGGGAAGTAATTTTTTAGATCGAAACAGTTGTGGCAGAACTTCCCGCCAACTCAGAAATTCAGGAGAGGGAAGAGGCCGCACCAATGAAGGTTGTTTTGCTGACTTGGCTCAATGTAGCACTTTCGGCAATTATTCCTCAGCGATTATTGTCAAGGCCTATTCTTTCTTTACTTTTCTAGCTTGAATTTCTATTTTCTTTCTGGACTTACCTTAGATCTTCTTGTGCCACATTGAGACCTGCTTCCGTTCAGACAGCTTGCTATCACTTTCACCACTTGATCTGTCACTTTCATCACTTGAAGCGTGGCGAAATCCTACAATTTTCAGTTTCTTGACAATCATGCGAAGATCGCTCAGAATGAGTGCTCAGTACTGCTATGCCCTATGCCTTCTTGTAATCAGCCCATAAGACGAATCCAGCGATATGCGAAGATGATCAAGAAACGGAATCTTGAACGATACAATGTGAGTAATGAGTACATATCGCTTGTTCATTTGTTTATTGTTTGCTGTTTGTTGCTTTTTATTGTTTATTGTTTCAGTTTTCATAGCAGAGTAGATGAATGGAGTCTTTTATTGTTTTATTCGTTTTAGGATAGGATTAGTATAGGCTAGAACTGAGGTAGAACTACATTACAACGTGAAAAGAGCATAATGGATGTTTTACTGCCAATGTGATGGGTGTCAAAATTGAAGGCACGCCCCGCGTTTATCTGATGCGCAGACGCCTTCTTTGGACATGGTGGTCCTGCCCGCACGCATGGAGGATGTACTACTTTTGCAGGTTAAAAATACATAAGGAAAGCGCGACCTTAGCGATGAAGCCACGGCTCCGCCCTTTGGCCACGGTCAACGCCCAACTTTCAATTCTAAAAACTTCCCGATAGTGAGGTCTTTCCGCTGCTATTTCGACTGCGGGTAAGGTGCCAAGGGGAAAGACTTGACATGACACCAGCAAGCGTGAACTCGTCCGACCACATCCTTTCTTCGTCTTATGTATAGTCCTCATCATTGCAGACCGGTGGGGCGGCTGAGCCGCGCTGCGTGTGACGCGACTGTCACTGAGCCGCAGTCGCTGTCGCGTCACAGTCGCGTCACACGCAGCGCGGCTCAGCCGCCCCACCGGTCTGCAATGATGAGGACTGTACCTACAATCGCGTTTAGCATGGGAATACTGTATAAAACACCTCAAGGAGGCTTTTTCTGCTTTTTCTTCCCCTTTGTGAAACGCGGGGCGCGCCTTTAACGATCAACTGTTGATGGTTTTTTATCAGTGATTGTAGAGCCTCCGCTGGTTTTTGATGTTTCTTTCAGTTGTCGAAACAGGATAGATGAACGAAGTTCTTTTCGTGATTTTTCGGCTTTTCATCTGAAAGTCACATTCCGCGATATGTGAATGGGCGGAGACTCGTAGACATTGTGTCTTGCTCGTTGGTAGAAGGCTGAGGGAAGCACAGTGTTCACAGATCTACGTTCATTTCTCTGCCCTCTGAATGTAGATTGTGTCTTCACGGTTCTGAACCTTACGCAGAGGAGGCGGCGCCGCCCATTAAGTGGGGGATATATAGCGCGACTGAGACGGAAAGTACCGACTATCAGAAAAGTTCACTAACCTTGAACCCTTTCTGTGCGGAATCACGACCAGGATGTGCACTACCCAAAATAGCTAATGGCCCAGTGTTAATCAATCCCGTTTCAGGATGCGCTACGCACTCAACTTCCATTTTGAATTTAGTTTGAACAGTTGTTTGGAAGTTTTCAGTTGAAAGATAATCCAGTACCGGATAAGGACTAGTTGGAGGGATGGACGATTAGTTGCTCTGAGCTAGGAGGTCGTTCAGGTCGAATGGCCATTGCCTGATGAGATGTAGATCAATAGGACGTGTTTGCGACGCTGATCTTGATATCTGCCTTCAAAATTTGCAAAGCGATTCTCTGAACGGAGTTATGGAGCCGCGTTTACCACGCAACAGGTCATGGGATCGGATCCCTGCTGAGCTTAACTTTTTTGCTTGTTGCGCAAACGTGGCAAAAAGTGATTTTGCCGTCACTACTACTTCAGTTCTCACCTGAGCTTGTCTGAAGAAAAGTTTGCCTCCATTTATTACTGCGCTTGGACTCCTTGTAGAAGCACTGTGCACTGTAGTCTACAAGGAGTCCAAGCGCAGTAATAAATGGAGGCAAACTTTTCTTCAGACAAGCTCAGGTGAGAACTGAGTAGCGATTGACGCAAAATCACTTTTTGCACTTTGCGCCGAAAGCCCAAAAAAGTTAAGCTCAGCAGGGATCCGATCCCATGACCTGTTGCGTGGTAAACGCGGCTCCATAACTCCGTTCAGAGAATCGCTTTGCAAATTTTGAAGGCAGATTCAAGATCAGCGTCCAAAACCACGTCTAGTGATCTACATCTCATCACAAATGGCCACTTCGACCTGACGACCTTCCCTAGTAGCTAGTTGGGAGGGAGATTCGATCGGAAGGTGCTTATCGTGTAAAGGGAGCGTACTTATATTTGCCAGTTCTCCGCTTACGCAAAACGCCGTCCGGGTTGAAACCCGCCTCGACTTTCATCAAGATCAACTAGGCCTCCTGCTGTCCGGGGACAGTGGATTGGTCCCAGATTCGTTTGGGAACATAGCGAAAACTTGACTGGTCCCCGCGCAACTTGTTTAATGAGGCCACCAATACCCCCGGTACTTTAGTGAGCCAGTGAAATTCTGAGTGGAAGCAGAATCCGAGCCGCATCCCAGAAAAGAGATTCATTAACGGCAGCGACTTTATCCTTTATCCTCTAGTCTTACTAAGGTAATATCGATTTAATGGTAGATATAGACAAGTTGAACCGCTACCGCCCACACCGCTCAAGGATCTAACTAAGTTTTCCATTTCCCTGGGACCTGTACTTGGTAGGAAGATAAAAACAGTGATCTTTACATTGGTTCACGCGTCTTCTACATAGTCCCAAGAGCCCCAGTGATTGTAATTGGTCCGAAACAAAAAAAAAAAAAAAAAAAAAAAAAAAAATATGTATGGCGGTGCCCCACAAAGGAGCTGTACGAACGCCTCGATCTCTTGGTGAATGCGGATCTCCTTTTATCGCCTTGTGTGCGAACTGCATTACACCATTTTTTTGAAGATTTACCTTTTCATACGATGGCTGGGCAGAGCACAACAAGTTGGTGTTTTTTTTTCCATTTCCATAACAAGTAAGTGGCTTTATTGTGGAGAATCAGCGCTCAGCTCAGAAGGGACATTTTCCTCTCTGCCTAGTTCCTCTAATTTAGTTCATATTAACTAACAGGACTCACTTTGGTCAGGCCAGTAAACTCCTGTGAAGCTGCGAAAATTTCCGAGCGAGCCAATTTGATCACAGGAATTAACAGGCTTTAAGAAGATGGCCTTTGCAAGCTTAGCTGAGTACTATTCGGCACCCCCACCAAGCCGAACCGTGCCATAACTTCCAATAATGACTACTGCTAGCTTAACAGGATAACTTTTTTTTCAGGAGAGAACTTCGACGCCAGCTGGTTTTTCATCCGATAAAGTGAAGAATCTAATGAGTGGTTACATGGGTCGTCTCATTGGCGAGCAAAAGAAAATATTCCACAAATACCAGAACCAAAGAGTCCCCGTAAGTGTTGTGCATTGAACAATCAGCTCATTCGCTCCAATATTGCACTTTTACAGAACAAGCAGCTATACGTCGATGTAACAAATTTGCTGACTGATGCCCATCGGACCCTCGCGAAAGATCGCCTAGCTGCACCGGAGTTATTCGACTTTTGGAGGGAGTACAATAGGTGATTTTTGGTTTCTCTCGGTGGTTGATTCAGCTGGTGTATTTCGGTGGTCAGCTGCAATTTTTTCTTCTAACGTTTTGTTGTGATTGCGAGGGAATAAATTCTATGTGGAGCTTTTTTTGGTCCTGAAGCTCAATGGCTGGGAGCATTGGGGATGGCAGAGCGCCTGTTGCTAACAGCGCATTCCACGACATTTGATAGGGCGGGGACTCACAACCGCAGTGTGCTCGTTGTTGTCGTGCTTCTCTGATTTATAAGGAGGGGCGCGTCAGTGAGAAAGGCACGACGGTCGTCAGGCTCCGCCCATCCAGTGTTCGTAGATGGGTTCTTGAGGCCATCCTCTCTGAAGAATTAGAAATAGAGGGAGGGGGGGGGGATCGTCAGTGAGAAGGCCGTGATGGTTGTCAGTCTCCCACTCTGCGCCCATACCTCGCGAGTCAAGTTCTTAGATCCATTCCTCCTCAAATACTAGAACTGGGGGCGCGTTATTGAAGAAGGAACAGTAGTTGTCTGTCACCGCCCACTTTAGCGGGAAATGTTTTCAAACTGTGGTTAGCCATCTGTAGACTCTTTCAACAAATTTGTGTACAGAGCAAGTGTTTGAGATAAAATCTTCTACTTGAGTTATGGATTTATCCTGTAAACACCACTATAGAGTATTAGAAGCAGGGTCCGCTATGAGCGAGGGATTTTTTTTCTGATCGCGACCACCTCCCATGAAGTCTGTTGAACAAAGTTGGATGTACACCTCCGTTCACTTAAATCGTCGCGTCACTTACCAAGGCGGCCAAATACATACTCCCCATCTCTGCTCAAGTTAGGACTTCTGGTAACTTTTGTGTGGTCCTAACTGATCTGTACTTTTTACGCTAAAAAATGAGGGTCAGTAAGTAAAGGGAAAACCCCTGGGAAAGTACTGTTAGCCTTCTTATTCAGAACTCTTCTTTTGCTGGCTCATTTGGTGGAGCTATTGCACACTATGCCGTTGAAGAAATGGGGCGGAAGGCTGTTTACTCTGTTCAATGAAGTTTTGCCGGGAGGTGTCCAGAAAGCTTTCGTAAGTTTCTACTTACTATTATATTTTAGGCTTTCTGGTTCCTTTCAGAATTCATTTGCTTGTTACGATCGGATATTAAATAATGGGTATAAATGGTACTGTGATGATTAGGTTGCGTTCATACTTTGCGACGCGAACGATTATGTTGCCCGATTTGAGAATTGCGAAACAAAGTGCTGCACCGATAATCATCGGACCACTGCAACTGTCGACACGGTCGTAGTAAACCTCTTCCAACCGTTGGTCTCAAAATTACCCAGGTAGACGTGATTGCAATTGGAATCGCCTACGTCGTGAAGTATGAATGCGTCCTCGATCCCGCGATAAGTGGATAGGCGAACAAATACGTGGAGATTCGTAACCATTGTACATCAAAACATCCGCTACGTTGCGGCGGATGGGTTGTGAGCGGAGTCACGGGGATCGGCATTCGCACCAGGACCCACTGCCCTAAAGCCAGGGCACGCCATCTTTGTGATCATCACAACAGGGGGGTCGTATTTGCCCGCGATGGAGGGGGGGGGTCGTAAACGCATGGCCCATGTTGAAGTGGAGAGAGCGGTGATACACGGTACAAGTGAAAAGAAGCTCAAAAGGGACGATGTAGATGACAGTAACGTTAAACTGTCCACTATCAGAATATTCCTACGTCCAAGAACGAAAAATATTGCTGAAACTTTTTCCTCCTTCCTCACAAAAAAAACTTCAAGACACTTCGCCCACCAACCCTCCTCATCTGGTCTAGATAAATCCCAATCCACTAATCCGCAAAATCTAGAAAAGAATCCATTGCAAAAGCTACCTATGAAACCGTAGAAATTGAATCCTGAGCAATTTCCTCACAACAAAAAAAAAAACTCAACAAACATCAAACTCAACAAAATAAGCAAATCAAATAATCCGCAATCAAATGGATAAGAAAGAAAACTCACCAGCAGCTGAGTAACCGGAACTGTGGATTACTTTTGAATTTTGGCTGTTCGCGGTCAGCGCGCTCATACAAGCTCATTGGTGCGCGCTATTTTACGGCCTGGAGCCAATTTCAAGCCAAACACGTGAAAAGTACCCCTCATTTGAACACCCATAACTTCGTTGAAAGTGAAGCTATCGGAGAGGGGTAAGTGGGAATGAGTAGAGCTAGGTTGGCTCTTGTCACCTGAATTGAGCGATTTTAAAAACGTTCCGATTCCAGAGATTTTCCCCGTTGTGATCTCGTTGTGATCCATCTGTGATCATTTTGCGAACCCCGAGTCGCTACGCTTTGGGTCCATCGGCAGCTTCATAAACGCCTTTCGTAAAAAAAATTGTGCCGGAAGCTTGAAGATTTCTACTTTCCAGCAAGGGCTTTAATTTTCTTCCTAGGCCTGCTATTCGAAAAAATTCCCCGCTTGTGATCATTTCGTAACCATCCCCCCACCGACACGAAAAATCAGCCCCTCCGAGGCCATGAAACTTCCAGTTGGCTTGAAGACTTTGGTATGTTTCTAAAACACATGTTTTCGCAAAGGGTATCAGGAAATAGGCCATTGGGCGCCAATTAGGCATCACCTCTGGGCCAAATTGGGGCCCGCGGCATGCATGGGCTGCTTTCACAGACAGAGTTTGGAAGGTGTAACTTCTAGATAGGGCTTCCCAATTGCAAGCAAATGTGCTCCTGCAATCAGAAAAGTCCGGGAATGTACTTTCCTCTGTTTATTCATCGTCAGTCGTAAGTCCTTTCCCATTTATAAATTCATGGTGTCCTTGTGGGCGGTGATCGTAGCTCCTATCAATCGCCCCTTCTAAAGGTTTGTCAGTATGCTACAGCCAGCGCCAACACGAGTTGCGGACGTGCTTGGGACCGTACTATAGGTAACATGGACCATCCCCCCCCGCTCGACAGCAAAATTTTGTAAAAAACCAGAAATTTTTTGGGGAAAAAATAGACAAAGTGGTAGGAGGTTGGAAAAATCTAGGGAAGAGGTAACATGGGGAGGGGGTCGTACTTGAATGGTGAATATAGGGGGGGGGGTACGTATTTTTAGGGAAATTGATCACCAACCGCATAATGGCGTGACCCTGCCTAAAGCAACCACTAGCATAGTCTCGACAAACATCCTCTTTGGTTTCCATAGTTCAACCCCTCAGATAAATACGCGTGCGAATGAGTAAGTTACAATGGTAGGAAGGTCCCCACCTACTTTCGTCGTCGTATTCTTTATCGCGAAATGACCTGTCTTTACAGTACCATCCGGACACCTGAGGAGCTTTGTTTGGAAAATTTTGGCATTTAGTGAACCAAGATACATTTAAGCGATCAACGAAATGCAGCAAGCTATTCGCTTGGTTGTCAAATACGGTAAATGTAACGAATAAGTGGTGTTGTAATACCTCGTGCACGTTACCTCGTCATTCGGTCGATGTTCTTCAGTGATGTGAGTTGCCCGCATATCGATTTTTTTGCCATAGTTTGGCTTGGTGGGGGCATTTTGCTGGTTCCTGTCGATCACTCATTTTCCTGGGTGCATATAAATCCCTGCAAAGCTGTGCAAGGGCAGGAACCTCGTTTGCTCTCGACAAGGGTGTACAGGTCTCATCAAGGTGAGACATGAGATCAGACAAGAACCAGCAGAAACTAGCGAAAGTGCAAAATGCCCCTCCTAAGCCGATCAATGCCGATTTTTTCCGTCTTTGGTATGAAGAGTACCTGTACTTTACAGATGCTAATATTTGGCAAGGAATGCCGTCTAGCGAACAAAGATTTGCCGAATGATGCAGTGGTGGAATCGTTTCGAAGCTGTATTAGGCGGTTCATTACTGCTACACCTGATCAGGACTATCTGGAACTGTTTGGTTAGTATGCACCTTTGTATTCAGTTAGAGGCACATTCCGCGCTTGATCGTGTGGGCGTAGTCACATGAATACATGGATCATTGAACTGTCTTCATTGTGCGCTCCCCCTCCTTACCAACTTAGGAGAGGCGTACCAGAGAGAAGAGCATATCTGTCTGAGTGGCCCCGATTACATGGAGCCTGCGAAAATTCGTCGGTCTCGAAACAAAAGTATTTCCTTCTTGAAGACAGACCGTATATTCATCTCCGAGGATGTTCCGTGCCATGTGCTGGAGACGATGGGCTGCTGCACATGTGAAACCTTTTCGGCCCTCGAAATCGCGCGGAAATGACGGTGAAGGGCTTCGACGATGACATTTAGGAATCGTCCCAAATCCTGAATGTCGCGGCGGGTACGTCGTTACCAAGATCCTGCAGCGAAAAACAGATACAGTGGTAGAGAGCAAGAAGAAGTGAGAGGGCGCAGACAAATAGAGAGTTTGGCTGGTTGGCAGTGTGGGAGCAGGCGCATACCCTAAAGGCATCCCGGTAAGGCTGCGTTCATACTTTGCGGCACCGCTCACTAGCGACCAGTAGCGTCCACTAGCTTTGCGAGGGCTAGAGAAGTATAGGAAACCATACCAAACCATGCTCTCTACAAGTAATCGGCTACCCTGCTATCTCCCTTGCTCTACCAGCTGTCTGCTAACCTTTGTCGCGCCACACTTTCTTCTCCTGGACGCTGGCAGACGCTGGTGCCTGCTGACAGACGCTGCTGGACGTTGGAGGAAGCTGGGAGACGCTGATCGTTATCTACACTTTCCTAGTCGCTGACGCTGCCGAACGCTTGGAACGCTGTGGACGCCACTGGTCGCTGGTGGACGCTGTCGTTAAGTATGAGCGCAGCCTAGTGTTACCCTACAACCCCGTTTTCGGGCTTTTTTGAGCGGAGCAAGTGATACGCTGCTGAAGCGTGGATCCATTCACCTCGCATATGAGGACCAGGATCCACGCAGGTGAGTGGAAAATTTGTCTTTAAGAGGGCTGCAGGGCCTCGTCCCCCTTTGTCGAGCAGTGAAAATGGGATAACCCATGAGGTTGCTGAACGACCTACCTGTGTAAGAAGTAGACGGATATTAGGTTTTTCACAGTTTTGAAATGTTATATTTGACACATTTTTTTACTCACTGATTTAGATAAATTTGAAAGTATGGTCAACACTACGTTGAAAGAGATGGGCATTCACGGAAAGTTTAGAGCTCGCAAGCAGGCCGGTTTCGAAGTGCCTGAATTTTAGTGGATCGGTTTTCGGTTTTCAGATTTCCGAAAATATATGCATATTTGTCTCTTGCATGAACACGTATTGATTTTCTGCACATTCTTCATGATTCTCTAAGCTCGGTGTTAGTTCTAAACAGGTTTTTCTAAGCTGTTACGGTGATGCTAGTAGGTCACTTCAATATTGCAAAGTTTTTTGGCTTTTCAAATTATAAATGTGACAAGTTACATGTAATTTATACTTAACTTTTTAGCAGACATCTGGGCGAAGTGCAATGTTTCGTGGTGATGGGGAGGGGGGTGACATCCCATACCGAGTGATATCAATCCTTCCCTTTCCCTTGAAATTCGAGCTCAGGTCAGGGACAACTCGTCTGTCGACCCGTTCTGGGAGCTTTTGTACTTGAGGTGGTGTTAGATACGCTGCGGGAGGTCCAGGTGCATTTATCTGCGCTCTCTCATCGATATATTGATCACTTTCCCTTCACAGATTTGGTTGGAAGTGCCCAGACGACCAGAGTCCTCGCTGTTTAGTCTGGCCCACCCGCTCACCCCTCCCCCTCGCTCCGCCCGGTTGGCCATTTTCTCAATCAGGGAATTTGCGCCCAATTCCCAGATTGAGGAAATGACCAATTCTTACTGTATCGTGATCAAAACTTCACTGGCTAATAAAAAAGTAGCTGCATAATTTTGAGAAGCCGGAAAAATTTGAAGTGATCTACCAGTTTTTGGATACTGGTATATTTAGCACTTAACACGTCTGATACCCCGAGTTATTGATTAACCTGTTCTTCTATGGCTGTAATCCCGATTCTACTTAAAGCTTATGGGCGCACTAGTTCTTAGGTCGTGTTTCTAGTCCATCATCATTGGTTGGAAGGCATTTGGCAACATCCTCACGAGACAAGGAATAGCGTCCTTGGGAGAATCCAGCCGATAGGGAAGCGGGCTATCTGGTCCTCAGAACAGTATCTGGTCATTTTTCTCTAAATTACTGTATAACTCTTAGCGCATGATCGACTCTGCAAACACTGCGATCGAGAAAGGGGTGTTCTTTACCGATCATTTGTTAGCCGAGGACCTCCCCTTCATTGGAAGAATCTAGGTGAGACGGTGGATAGGGGTGAGAGGGGGCCGTGGAAGGAA